ATACCTCCATCTTAGAAAAACAGGGTCGTAGAGTCTTATCTCCCTCACTAAATGAATGATCAAATGCACTATGATATCAAAAAATGCTAGAGGAAATGCATTTCCAGCTGAGACAAAATAACCCTTATTTTCCAATTTGTCCAACTTTGCTATGTCAATAACTTCGCTACAAATAGCACTGAAGAAGATGCATAATCTAGTTATAGTGCTTCTCATATCATTTTTCATTATGCCTTGAATAGCCACCGATAATAATTGTTGCATTAGTACATGGTAATCATGAAATTTCATTCCCACTAACTTCAAATCGTCTATTGATACAAGCCTTCTCACAAAAGAAGAATACCCTTGGGGCACTTTGATGCCATGCAAACACCGAGACAAACTTGTTTTTTTGACTTTAGACAATATGTGGGCTGCTGGTTCTATATAAGCCCGCTTACCACCATCTCTCAATTGTAGATGTAAGCGTTCTCGTATTCCCATTTCAGCTAGATCAAGTATTGCATTAATTATATCTTTAGTTTTCCCAAGCATGTGGAAAAGAGTACTGATGAGACTATCGCACTTATTTTTCTCCACATGCATTCCATCCATACTGTGTCTTACATCAAGACTATGCCAATATGGAAGATCAAAGAAAATAGACCTCTTTTTCCATATGTTCTTCTCACTTACAGCCTTTTTATTCTTATCAAAGATGACATTGATTCTTTCTACTCGCTAATAAATTTCCTCTCTAGTTAATGCCTTTGGAGCAATGTCATGCTCCGGCGAGCCATTAAAAACCTTTTTCAGTCTCCGATATGGGTAAAACTAATCAAGAAACCTCCTATGACCAAGGGAAACTCTTTCTTCCATGTTTAAGTTAGTGGAAGTATGTGTTTGCTTCACATATAGGACATGCTTCATGCCCCTTCACACTATATCCTGATAGATTTCTATATGCATGAAAGTCATTTATCACTGTGAAGGTCATTGCCCGTAACTTAAAGGACTCCTGCTTATATGCATCAAACACATCCACACCTTCTTCCCACAACATCTTCAAGTCTTCAATTAAGGGTGCTAAGTAGATATCAATATTCTTTCTTGGTTGTTTTGGTCCTGAAATCATCATAGAAAGCATCATGTACTTGCGCTTCATAATACCAAAGAGGTAGGTTGTAAATCACCAAGAGTACTGGCCATGCACTATGTGTGCTATTAAGAGTACTATAAAGGTTGATTCTATCTGTACAAAGCCCAAGACAAAGGTTTCTTGGTTCAAGCCCAAATTCTAGAAACATTTCATCTATTTTCTTCCATTAAAGAGAATCCATAGGATGCCTAAGATATATTCCATCTGATATTCTCTCATCAAAATGTCATCTTAACTTCTTTGGTTTTATTGCAGTAGCAAATAAGCGCTTAACTTGTGGTATTATCAGAAGATACCATAACACCTTCAAAGGTTGCCCTTTACTTATCTCATCACCATCATAGTTACTAGCACAATCCATGTTCCTTTTCACTTTATATCGTGAAGTTTTACATTTTGGGCACTCGCGCAGACCAACATACTCTTTTCTGTATAATACATAGTCATTAGGACAAGTGTGTATCTTTTCATAGCCTATACCTATCTAAGACAAGATTTTCTTTGCCTCATACACACAATTTGGAATAATGTTATCAATTGGAAGCATATCACTAATCAATTGAAGCAACTCTATGAAACTTTTGTCAGTTCACCCATTATTTGCTTTTAAACTGAACAATTTCAATACAGCTATCAACCGTGTATACGTAGAACACCCAGGGTACAAAGGTATCTTTGGATCACTCATCATTTGCATGTGACCGCACAAAGAACTCTACCCCTACATCACGAATCATATTGGTCATTCTATCATTTACGTCATCCATAACTTTCTCTTCTTCAAGTACTAAACTTGTCCCTAATATCATCAATACTCAGTCGACTCTCATTTAAACACTTGACATAGGGGCAAAAATACATTCTGTTTTTGCTAGGAGCATTTCTTTCAGCAAATTTAATAAATCGTTCTATCACATTCTCATATTCCTCACTTGTTCTCAAAGCACTCATCCGACTATAATCCATTGTATTACTACCTAATAAATTTTGAAACATTTAATTCAAGACTAAATTCAACAAGGAATTTTGAACGATTTAAGATTAATTCAATTCAATTTAGAAAAAAAACAGTCAAACAATTCAAAACTAATGATGGCAATTTAATACAATTCCACTAAATTCCAAAAACTAAACCAATTCAAAACTAAATTCAACAAGGCATTTTGAACAATTTAAGATTAATTCAATTCAATTTTAAAAAAAACAGTCAAACAATTCAATACTAATGATGGCAATTTAATACAATTCAGTTAAATTCCAACAAAATCAAACCAATTCAAAACTAAATTCAACGGGCAATTTTGAATTTATAATTAAATTCACCAATTTAATCTAATTCAACTCAATCCTAATAAAAATAAAGCAATTAGCAAATCCAACTCAAACAAATTCAAACCAATTCAATTTAACACTAATTTTAGCTCTTTAATCTAATTCAACTCAATTCAAACAAAAATAATGCAAATTCAAGACTAATGATAACAATTTTATCCAATTAATTAAGGTCAATTATTTAATCCAACAATTTAAAGCAATCCAAAATATAAAAAAATTACCAAAATTTTCAACTTTACAATCCCAACCACAATTTTCAAGTTTACTCATTTTGGAAAAAAAATTTGCTAAAGCTTCTTTCTTTTTGAGATAATACATCCAAAAAAAAAAATCAATTTGCTATTAAATAAACCTTTCAAAATCCTAATAACTATATTACCATTGTAATGCAATACCAATATATGAAAATTCTCTCTTAGACATTTTGACAAACACCTTGTGTGCATGAATATTCAAACAAGTTTAACAAACTTCTCATTTTTGGAATCTATTACCCAATCAACGTATACAAGTTTAAAACTTTGTAAATACAATTCAACATTCAGCAGCAACCACAAACCCACATTCTATTGCAGCACATATAGAATAACCAAAAAGAGGAAGATTGCTTGTCAACTTACCTTATTCAGTACGCAATGCAATCAAAGAAGGGAGAGGGAGAACACCAAACTGCAGAGGGAGAACAACGACCTTCTTTATTCACCAGAGTCACCGAACTGCAGAGGGAGAACGACTGCTAGCTCTTTGTCATTGAGACAAAAATGCTACAGCACCAGTGGGGACATAGCTGCCGCAACCTTTAGAGTTCGTTCGCTGTCAAGCTGAGAGGAAAGGCGATGGACTTCCAACACCAGCGGAGACACAGCTTTGCACACGGAGCAGTGGATATGGGAGGAAGAGGCGATGCAGGAATGAAAAAGGGGAGGGATGGAGATGTTCGCGAGCTGTGCTATCTAAATTGGCAATGATTTTAAAAAAAAATTCAGGCTCCTTCTCGTCTGTTTTATTAGTAACAAACAAGAAGGAGCCAACTTCTTGTCTGTTTTAACAAAACAGGCTCGCCTGTTTTGTTAAAACAGACAAGAAGCTCTACTTCTCGTCTGGTTTTCTTTTTAAACAGACAAGAAAATGGAGCTTATTCTTGTCTATTTTATTGAAACAGACAAGAATACCCACTTTTTCTGTTCCGTTTTCATAAACAGACATGAATGGAGAAGGTAAAAAGTATGTTTCCTTGTAGTGTTTATAATAAATTTAAAGGTTAAGGCACATCCAGCATACCAAAATATTTTCTCGAATGCATTCAGCACTATAACATACTTTAGGATGCATGATGCATTCAGTGCCTAAAGTTTTTTAAGATGAAGAAAGATGAGAGATAATAAATGTGTAATATTAAAAGCAATTTTATCATTTTTAAAAAACTTTATCATTGTAGGACACATTTAATGACTAAACTTTCATTTGTTTTCGTATGTGAGAAAAGTAAACTAACTTCTTATATTATCAACCACAAGAAATATGTATTAAAACCCCAACATTGTCTTGGCCTTTTTCAAACATGATGTCGTCCTTTGGCTTAACTCCACATGAATCTTTGGAATCAATCTCATCAAACATAAGATGCTTCAACATAATCTCCTTATTAGACTCATGCGTGTCTATAAATGCCAGTGTTTAATTTATTAGATTTAATCTTTTCATGAAAGATATTTGTTCAGATTTATATGAAATATTTTTGTTGTTTATAGTCAAACCACAGATAATCAGCAGTCAATCTCCACGCTATACTTCTATTACGTAAAGAAGATGGTGTTGGATGTTTTGAAAATTAAATATTGTTTCTAAAGGAATTATTACATTCTGACTATATCAATTTCTATACCGTCCACGCTTAAAAAGACACTACCTAATGCCGACAAAGTAAAAAAAAAAAAAAAACTACTTCCACTACTTAATATAAAAACTAGTTAAAAATTTAATTTATATTTAAATATAATATCTCAATCTACTTTTTCTATAATATTTATCTATTTTGTCTCCAAAATAATCAGTATGGTAATTGCACATTATTAGGAATTTTCATCAAGTGATAGCTGGTTTCAATATATATAATTAATCAGAGTATTTTAAACAAATATTTATTTATTATAAATAACTAACTTAACTAAGTAATGTTGATCCAACAGCCACGGTCAGCTCCTTTTAACCTAGGCACAAGTTCCTGTACACAACACCGGAACTTGTCATTACATAACCTCTGCCTCACGTAGGACATTTAATTTGCTGATTACATTTCTTCCTCAAAATCTTACAGTGATTTTCTCACCCAAAAAAAAAAAAAAAATCAGTTTTCCACAACCTCACCGTCACGTTTCAAGAGATATAATTTTGAAAATCTAATGTTGCGGTCTATTTCAAACACCATGATGCTCCTTTTATTTCGTTATTATCCTCATACTCTATTGAAGCAAAGGCCCATTGATCTCTCTTTCTTTCTTTATCTTCTACCTCTCAATCAAACATGCTTCAACATTCTTATCTCCTTACCTTGTTCATTTTCACATTCTGGTCATGCTGCGCTATTGACGCCGTCGTTTCAGACCCACAGACTCATCTTGTTACCATCGGCTGCACCCCATTCGACCGCTTCCTCGTTTCCGACTTGTCTGTCTTCAATGACAACCTAAACGCAACGTTTCGAGACATCAGAGAACAGGTTAGAGATCAAAACAAGCATTTCGTTCCGGTTCAGGAAAGCGGTGGCGGAAGCCCTGTGTCCACTCTTTTTCAGTGCAGAAACTACCTTTCTATCGCCGACTGTGTCGCGTGCTTTGATGTAGCTGCCGCCAAAGTCCGGAGCTGCCGTGCCGGAGCCCCTGGTGGCCATGCCGTTTACGACGGCTGCTTCCTCAGGTACACAAAACTACTCCACAAGGTTCCACTAGTTCTTTTCTTAGTAGGGCACCTAAAAATAAGATATTTATTGTGACGTTATTAGTTTAACCAAGGTGTAGTTTTGGAGATAATATCTCAAAATAAAACTTAACACACACCAACTCAGACTTCATTTATGTCTAAGTATCCAATATCTTTTGATGAGTCACCTTAATTGACAGAAAATATCTCTTTTATGTCTTTGGGGGTGTGTGGTTTCTCCTGAAAGTGTTTTTTAAAAACATTTTCATGCAAATTGAGATAAAATCCTTCTTACATAGTATACTGTAAAATCATTATAACTTTGTTTTTATCCAATCACTCTCTTAATTTAAATAAGATGTTGCGGGTGGGACTTTATAATGGGTGCGTGAGCTCCTTGACAAAAAAAAAACAGTATCTTTCTTATTTAAAAAAAAAACTTATTTGAAGAAAAAGATAATTTCAAAAAGGGAAAGCAATCCATTTCCTCATCCTTTACATCAATTTTCCGGTAGAGGTTCATTCCTATGCTTTCTTGTGCTAGTCTCTATAATGATGATGTGGCATGATGGAGTTCATCAAAAGGGAAAAAAATGATAAACAGGTCTTGCATATGGGACTTAATAACTAATAAACCCAATAAAGTTGTTAAACTATAGTAAGATGTAGGGGATTTGAATGTCATTATGCACATAGTATATGTGAAATAGTCAGAATACTTCTGCAAGACCCCAAAACCAACTTTGATTGGTCGATCGTTCACTAATCACTTGACTCAGACTGTCATAGGCCGGCGACTAGATGGTCATTGGACCCCTAGCAGCAGGTTGTCATCAGTAAGAGCAACTATTTTAAAACTATTTTTACTAAAATATTTATATTTTAATATTTAATCATTTAAATATGACAATTATTTAAAACTAGTGTAAGTTATTTTTATTTTTTGATCTGCATAAAACTAGTGTAAGTTAATTTATAAAACTTGCAAGTGAATCAGAGAACATATTTTGTGTATAACTCATAATAACCTTAAATCACTTTGGGTTTGGGACTAATTTTTATTGTTGAACTAAAACATTAAGGTTAAAATCCTCCCAATAAATATGTTATAAATATGTTTTTTGAGATTTGAACTTGTGTGAATCAAAGTGCTTTTTTTTTGGTTAACTTGCAAATTCTAAAGCATTGGCTATAAACAATAAGACTATTTGGCCATGATTTTTAAAAGTGACCTTTTAAATTTAGTTTCAACAGTAACCTTTTTTTTGTCACTGTTAAAACCTTTTAGCTATAGCCCTTATGGCAATGATATTGGACAATGACAACGCTGCAACTTATAGCTACCGAAACTTTTAATGGTGACTTTTGTACTTTTAGCCATGACATAAAAGTCAATTTTTTTTTTGCGGTGATTATTAATCAATATATTTTTCTAGCATATCAAAAGAAATCCAGATGTCCACAAAGGGTTTCTCTGTATATACATATTGCAAAATCCATATTGAACTTGGAAAACTGATATATATGCATGGGAAATTTTTTGGTATTTTGAGGTATGATGCGAGTCCTTTCTTTGACCGGGCGACGGATACTTTCAATGCTGCCTTATGTGGGAATAAAACTACAGGAGAAGCCACTGCCTTTAACTCAGCTGTGCAAAAACTGCTGATGAATCTCCAAAGAGAAACACCAACAATCCCTGGCTTTCTGACAGCCACGAAGACACAAGTACTTAATAATAATGGTCCAACTATATATGCCTTTGTGCAGTGCACAGAAACTATCACACAAAGTGGATGCCTCAGTTGCTTAGATGTTGCATACAGAAATATGCAGACTTGTCTTCCTACTTCAGATGGTCGAGCTTTTGATCAGGGCTGTTTCATGAGATACTCCACAACCTCATTCTTTCCTGATAATTACCAGATCGTTGACGTCACTCCCATGGATAAACAAGGTATGGTTCATTTGAAGATTTAAGTGTTCAATTATATAATTTTCTTTTGTTAGTTTTATGTTACACTTATCTCATGTCATTTTGGTTTGATAAGACGATTTTCTTGGCTTGCAGGTTCGAGCATTAAGGGGGCTATCATTGGTGGAGTTGTTGGAGGAGTATTGCTTGTTTTGGTTGCCCTTGCACTTTTTGTTTGGATTAAACCACGTAAAAGCCCTAAAAGGGTTCCGGCTAGAGGTAAAAAAAAAAAAGTTCAAAGTATTAATTTACTGCATATTTTTAATGTTTGGGTGATGATCTGGTTTTCACTTTGTCCGTGAAAGAAAGAGTTATGGACTTTCCATGTATCTACAAAGGATGAATCCTGATATGTTTTTCTAATTTTTTGAGAGAATTTGACTAATGTTTTTCTCCAGGAGACATAACTGGTGCAAGCAAGTTGAAGGTGCAATTCATTACAGTTACATGGATTTGAAGTACGCAACTAGAAATTTTAGTGTAGAAAATAAACTTGGAGAAGGAGGATTTGGTGCAGTATATAAGGTAGCTATATCTTTTGATTATTAATATTTTCATCTAGATCATGTTCCCCAAGTAAGGATTTTCCGATGTGAGTTTTATGCAGTGTTGTAAAAACTTGTATATATACGAAAGGAAAATTAAAGGGACCATATATAACGCTTTTAGGAAATTATTAATCATCATGAACAGGGAACTCTGAAGAATGGGAAAGTAGTTGCAGTCAAGAAGTTGACTTTACGTCGTTCCAATAAAGTGGAGGAAGAATTTGAGAGTGAAGTGAAGCTTATAAACAATGTTCATCATCGAAATCTTGTTCGACTTCTGGGATATTGCAGTAAGGGTGATGAGAGAATTCTTGTTTATGAATACATGAAAAATACCAGTCTCGACAAATTCTTATTTGGTAAACTCCCTATGAACCTACCAAAATTTATGCTCTGTTCTTTAAGTACAGCTGCTTGATGTCTTCATAATATTAAGACGTGGATATATTTTCATTTTCGTATAATTGACTCTTCTAACAAGCTCATTCCCAGATGAGATTAAAAATTATTGAAGTACTTAGTAAAAGTATATAAGTATTTCCTCTAGAAACATTTAGAGGATCATTTTTTAATTGTTTCTTTGCCATGAGTAAATTTGTTAACAGGTAAAATGAAAGGTTCTCTTGGTTGGAAGCAACGATATATTATAATTTTAGGCACTGCAAGGGGTTTGGCCTATCTACACGAAGAATTTCACAACCGTATCATACATAGAGATATAAAATCCAATAACATCCTCTTAGATGATGATCTTCAACCTAAAATTGCTGACTTTGGGTTGGCAAGACTTTTACCTGAGGACAAATCTCATCTTAGCACGAAATTTGCAGGAACATTGTAAGTTGAAATAATTATATTTGGCTTCTTTTTTTTTTTTACTTTAATCACAGTATATGCATGCAGATAAAATATATGTTTAGGTAAACACAACACTCCTATGATATCGATAAATAATTTTAACATTTTCCTTCTTTTTTCCTGTAATTAAAACGTCAATACTACATGAAAGAGTTTGGTGACATGTGGGATAAGAAAAAAATTATGGTTTAATTATATTTTTAAAATATTTGGATTATTTGGACTTATCATCATTTTACGATTTATTTATTTTTATCAGTATTTTAGTTTTCTTATTATTGTTAGGATTAGTTGTTATTATTATTTTTCTTCTTGTTATTGTCATCATCTCATTATAACTAGTTCTAGGGTTTTCATTTTACGGAGACTTAAGACTTTGGATTGAAATTTCAGAATACAATTATTTTCTCTCCGGCGTCCCTTCTCTGCTTCCCTTTTCTCCTCGATTTCTTTCTTTTTCTATATTGTTTTACATCAGAATTCATATCTATGTTCCACATGACATAGTATTATGTTTGTTCCGTCTATTTCAGATATTGTTGCCTTGAAATTTATATGGGCGTGTTTGTGTTCTTAATTATAATATGATGAATTATGTCGTAAATGCTACATATATATATTTGTCAGAGGATATGCAGCACCGGAGTATGCAATAAATGGACAATTATCTGAGAAGGTTGATATCTACAGCTATGGAGTTGTAGTTCTAGAAATTCTTAGTGGTCAAAAAAGTGAAGAATTGAATGTTAATGGTGAGGCCGAAGGTGAATTCCTCCTTCAAAAGGTAAGAAAATTTATAAAAGCATTTAAAAATACTATTTTTGAAGGAGGTTTTGACGTGGGAATTCATTTAGTAAATCAACACATATACTGCTTTTGGGTTAGATCTTTTGAAAGAGGTTTTTTTTTTTTTTATTAGAGAATCTAAAAATAACCAAAACTTTAAAAATTAATACCTTCGTCTTTGCATTTCTATCCTGGTGATTTTGTTTAACTTTTGATCCCAATTATTGTTAGGCATGGAAACTATACGAAAGAGGCATGCATTTAGAGTTGGTGGACAACACTTTAGACTCTAACGACTATGATGCGGAAGAAGTAAAGAAAATAATTGAGATTGGATTGCTTTGTACCCAAGCATCAGCTACAATACGGCCGACAATGTCCGAAGTGGTTGCCTTGCTCCAAAACAAATATTTGTTTGAAAATATGAGACCAACTATGCCTTTCTTGGTTGAAACTAAATAAGGGCTCATGGAACGAACTATTACTTCTGCATGGCTAGGGGGTGTTTGGCTGGAGAAGAAAAGTAAATTTATAGAATATAAAGTAAATATATGAGAGAAATTTTGTCTTGATTTATAGAAAATCACTTTTTAAAAGTATTTTTTGAATTATATTGTCAGAAAAATACTTGTTTGTATGTTTTGAAGTTTTTAGTGTTGAAACCCATAGAACGGAATACGAACTAACATCAAACAAAAATGAGAATGCTTGTCCTACATTCCATTATTATATTCTTCAACATGTGTTTGTAATCATATATCAATCCTTAAAAAGCATATGTCAATTGATAATTTTAGTGTACAATTTCAAGTAAACTACATTACTCTAGCTTAACGTTTTGGTTAATGTACACACGACAACCTCTTTTTTTTTTTTTTTTTCCTAATCCAATTTTATTTTAAATGATGATATGATGTGAATTTTTCCTACAATACACGACTTTGCGAGCGAAGTTATTTATTCGTCTTTATAGTCACGTTAAGAGTGACATAACCGTATCACATCGGAGTTTAATAACAAGTTAATTGCCTAATTCTTATTGTGTCAAGAAAATGTATGAAAAACATGCACTATTCATAAGTATTGAAAACATGGCTTATTTCTTAAATTTTGTATAATTATTTACTTAAAACTAAGTTTAGCTTTGATATGCAGGTGGTGCATTTCAAAAATTGGTGATAATCTTTTTAGAACCTATTTGCTCTTTGCCACCTGGATTTTCATTATGGGCTGGATTTAAAGTTAGTGATGGTTTATTTTCTGTCTTGAACTCTGGGCATTCACAGCAGATAACAATAGAGAAGACTTTCTGAAACAGCATTAGTACTGATCATGAGATCCTCTTTGTACACGCCGCCAGCTTTTTCCTAGTCCGTGTTGGAAACTTTCAAGTCTTGTCGCCTTTTTTGAAAAGGCAGTGCGGCTTAAGTTCAAACCCAAGTTATCCACAAGGCAAGATGGCACAAAATCTATACACGCGTCGGTCAAAAACCTTTCATAAATTGCATGGTCACCCTTACACAAATTGTTGTTGCGTCCTTCAAGACTGTTTAAATTTAAGAAACATGTTGAAAAACAGCTCCATCCCACTGATATTAAGCCCAAAACACGAACCCTCTTCGGAGTTCGAAGCAGTCCCAACAACAAGATGCTTCAACGTCCTAATAATCTCTTTCTTCTCCTGGTGACCTTCTTGATATTCTGGTCAGGCTGAACTCTAAACGGTGTCGTTCCGGACCCGCAGACCAATCTTCTGCACAGTGGATGCAGCCCGTTCTACGAATACGTGCTGTCCAACTTCTCGACGTTCAACGAAAACCTCAACACAATGTTTAGAGAAATCCGAGGGCAGATCGTGACTCAGAACAAGTACTTCGCGACAGCGCAGCAGGGCGGCGGAAATAACCCAGTTTCCACTCTTTTTCAGTGCAGAAATTGCCTCTCCATCCCCGACTGTGCCGCCTGCTTCGACGTCGCTTCTGTTCAGATCCGCAACTGCTCCGGCGGAGCACACGGTGCCCGTGTCGTCTACGACGGCTGTTTCCTCAGGTACAAGATCCGACTGACCCACCTGATTCAATTTTTGACTCCCCTGTTGAAACAGTGGAAGCTTAGGCCTTGGATATAAGATATTTATTGCGTGATCATTGAGTAGTTTGTGAATGTGTTGTGAGGTTTACGACCGTGTTTTCTTTTTGGTTTTGTCTCTATTTGCATTGATTAATTAAACAGTAAAGACAAAGGAGAAATAAAACTTTAGTTAAGTATGGCTACTTAAAGTAGATGATAATATGAAATTAAAGTTTAATAACAATAGATTGGATCTCAAAAAAAAAAAAATCATTGAATTTCAAAATTTCAAATCATTCTTGTTTACTACATTTTAATAACAATTGACAACATTTAAAAAAGTGAATGACAATATATTTTTGTGATTTGAGATTTTGAAATTTTAGAGGTATTTTTTTTGGGGGATTTTTTTTCCATATATTTACACATTTCTCATTTTAATGATAAGGTAATAATTTGATTCATTAAATTTCTTAAAAATTTATTTACATATTTTTTTTTAGCGTTGGTAAACATTTCATATGAAAAAATTTATAACTTGCAAGGTTTTATTGATATAATCGATGAAATAAAAAATTGATGATTTCTCAGATAAATAATATAATAGACAAGATTTTAACAACAAATCATAATCAACAAGTTGTGAAATTCATCAACACACAGACGTCACGCACGCAATAAGTGAGTATAAATGCTCAACTGCCATTAGATGCCCTCTGCTGGGCGGTCCGTGTTACCTAAATCAGTCTATAAATAATTCAACATAGGAATATAAATTTAATTCAAACAATTTTAATAATTAATATTTTGGTAAAGGCACGAGGAGAAGATTAAAGATAACAAAAGGAAGAGTACAAAGAGAAAGCTATTAAGAATAAGAAAGTAGGACCAGGACACGATTCAAAATGGCTTATGAGTTCGGGAAGCGGGTTAATTAGAATATCAGACACTAGCAAGACAAGACATAACTTTGGCTAGGTTTATAGAAAGCTTTATGTGAATTGTGAGTTAGAGTCTTATTCCTTGAATAAATTTATGGATAATTTATTACCTATTAGAGACAAATGTATAAAACCTAAATTTACACTATGCTTATTACCAAAATCATAGCTCCGATATTTAAAGAAATGTACCACATCAAGTAGGTCAATAACTAATCAATGCAATTTTATAGTGATATTGGAAAGATGAATTGGTATTACTTTGTGGTATGCTAAGGTATGAGACGAGTGCCTTCTTTGACCAAACATATTTTGAATTTGAATTCAGATATTCAAATATTTCTTTGACTTATAATATTATGATTTCTTGAATTCAAATTCAGAATCAATCATAATCAATTCTAAATATATATATCTCTCTCTCTAATATATATAATCTATACAATATAAATTAATTAAATTTATATCGTAACTGATTGATTTGTTTAAGAATGTTTGACCAAGTCGAACATATCATAATCTTACTTAGATATTTGACCGGTATATTTTCTTAATATCTAGTCAAATAGTTCGGTTCATCAAGAGTGGATCCAAGCCCAAAATCCAACATAAATATAGATCCAACCTGTTATGTTTTCTCCCTCTCCTTATTTATTTCCTTCACTTAGAAGATAAAAAATCTAATAACAAACATTTAGTGGCTTACCATGTTTCAAGAAGCGGTTGATATCAGTGGTTTGATCATCAGGAAAGAGAGAAGTGGTGGAGTATCTCATGAAGCAGCCAGTATCGTAGCTCTTAGCATTTGAGTTTGTAAGACAAGTCTGAAATTTGGCTGACGCAGAGTTCATGCAATTCTGGCACCCACTGTGTGAGAGGGTTTGAACGCATTGAGCAATCGCATAAATATTCAAACCATTATTATTAGGCACAGGCGTCTTAGTGACCGCATAAAATCCACTCATTCTTGGGGTTGCTACGTTTAGATTCCTTAGAAATTGTTGGACAGTTGAAGCAAGCGCCAGGGAATCTGTTATTGTCTGATTCCCACATCTTATGTTGCTCCACTCTATGTCGTTGGCCAGATCAAATTGTTGACTGCTCTCGTACCTAGTCATTAATCAATAAGACGGTAACTCATTAAGCATGTGTCTAGTGTCTTTTTTGGGTATTGGATGGTCCCAAAAAGAGATGTAAGTTTTTGGTAGCCTCTTTTGTGTGTACCTATGGCTGCTGAAGAAGACTAAATTGAGATGAACTTATTTCACTAAGAAGAACATCTGAATCAAATCTGTTTACTTATTAGACAAGAATAATGTATGCTCTACCATCTTATCTCTATGACGATGCTCTATTATCCGAGAAAAAAGGGTGAAACTTGAGGTTGTGGGGGTAGCTAGTTGTACCTGAGGAAGCAGCCGTCGTAGACGAGACGGGCACCGTATGACCTGGCGGAGCAGTTGCGGATGTTTACGGCGGCGACGTTTAAGCAAGCGAGGCAGTCGGCGACGGAGAGGTAGTTTCTGCACTGAAAAAGGCCATAGACGGGGATGTTAGCCTTCACTGCTTGAGCTGTGGCGAAGTGTTTGTTTTGGCCTTGGATCTGAGCTCTCAGGTCTTGAAACGTTTCGTTTAGGATCTCCTTCAAGATGGAACCATCGTTGTCGCCGTCTTGGTCACACCATAGCTGCGCTAGATTCGTCTGAGGGTCGGAAACGACGCCGTCGAGCGTCCACCATGATCAGATTATGAAGCTCAATAAGAAGAAGAGAGGCTTCTGTTGCAGTAATTGTGGCTGCATGCTGTTTTTTCTTGCCTTTCAGAAGCTATGAAGAATAAAAGATATGAAGTGGCAAGCAATGACGGACCTAGAATAAGAAGGGGAGAAGCCAAAAAAGATTTTGCAAAAAGTGTGTTTGAGATCTTTTATATATATATAATTGATATATCGTAAATTTGCGCTTGATATTTATTGCCATTAATTTTATTTCAAAGATAACTCTATAAATATATTTAAGAGAAAGGTCGTGTATCAGTTGAGTCAAGCAGCTCCAACTATAATTAACTATTATATATATTAACCATATAAAAAGATTGTAACAAAACAAATTAGGAAGAATACATTAAAAAAGTTTTCAGTGTCATGAGAGAATTAAATCCTAGACGTACACTTCTACATGTTATCCAAGACGAGTTACTCTGTTTTTTTTTTTTTTTAACATATATGTATGCATGTATGTTTATCAAGTATCATTACACAGCACAAGATAAATAATTCAAATTGAAAATCAGGTTAAATAAATATTTCAAACATGATTTCTTCTAATTTTATTTCAAACATGTATTGAAATTTGTTTATAACTATATTTGCCACTTTGCTTGCTTCCATCCCACGCCTATCTCGTGTGGCATGTCTCTTTATATCAGTTGAATATATTTTAATTATTACACAAGAATAATGTATCCTTTATGTACGTGTGCAATAAATCAATATAATATATTATTATCAGCCAAAAAATATCATTTGTTATAAAAATTGGTTTTTA